TCATTCCTTCGGTTCTTCCTTTCCTCTTCCATCTCTATTTTAGTTTTCCCCTCTTTGTTTTGAGAGGTTCTATCCATTGTATTGGGGTTTTGATGTAACCAACAAACTCTATTGTAATCCTTTTGTGTTTAATGTTATATATGTTTTGTTTCATTCCTTGTTGTGTATGATTCTATGCTTAATGCTTGCTTTGGCTTGATCATCTCAAATGGAGTCTTTGTCCATTAGCTCAAACTCTTTAGAAGGTGGAGTTCCAAAATCATTTGGAAGAGCATGTTCTTTGGTCTTATTGGATCTTTCTTATAATAGTTTAAGTGAAGAGCTACCAATAATATTTGATCACTTGTCTGGGTGTTCTAGATACTCATTACAAGAATTATACTTGGAAGGAAATAGAATCAATGGTACGTTTCTTGACCTTTCAATATTCTCATCTTTAAAAACATTGATTCTTTCTAACAATCGATTAAGTGGGAAGATACTCGAAGGTAGCAAATTGCCATCTCAAATGGAGTCTTTGTCCATTAGCTCAAACTCTTTACAAGGTGGAGTTCCAAAATCATTTGGCAATGCATGTGCTTTGTACTCATTGGACATGTCTAACAATAGCTTGGGTGAAGAATTTCCAAAGATAATCCATCACCTGTCTGGATGTGCTAGATATTCATTGGAATATTTATTTCTAGGCATGAATCAAATCAATGGGACACTACCTGACCTCTCAATATTCTCATCTTTAAAAAGATTATATCTTTATGGAAACAAGTTAAATGGAGACATTCCTAAAGATATTCGATTTCCACCTCAGCTAAAGAGTCTAAATATGCATTTAAATTCCTTAAAAGGTGTGCTCACTGAATACCATTTCACTAATTTGTCTAAGTTAAAAGAGTTGGTGTTGTCAGAGAACTCATTATTGGCCTTGACATTCACACAAAATTGGGTTCCACCATTTCAATTGAGGTACATAAGATTGCAATCTTGCATGCTAGGTCCAACATTTCCCATATGGTTGAAAACGCAAAATGATTTCAATGATCTTGATATTTCAAATGCTTCAATTTCAGATATGGTTCCAAAGTGGTTTTGGGCTAAAGTAGCATTGCTGGAAGGGCTTTCAATGAATATTTCATATAACAATCTCTCTGGTATAATTCCAAATTTTCAACTAAAGAATAATTCTTCTTCCCTAATTCTTGGATCAAATCTATTTGAAGGCCCTATACCACCATTTCTACGATATTCTATGTTTCTTGATTTGTCCAAAAATAAATTCTCAAACTCTTTTTCATTTTTATGTGCTAGTGGTACAGTTGAAATTTTATACCAATTAGACCTTTCAAATAATCAGTTATCCGGACAAATCCCAGATTGTTGGAACCATTTCAAATCATTATCTTATTTAGATCTAAGTCACAATAATTTTTCAGGAATGATTCCTACTTCCATGGGATCACTCTTTGATCTTCAAGCATTACTATTGAGAAACAACAACTTAACAAATGAGATCCCTTTGTCTTTGAGAAATTGCACAAAGCTAGTAATGCTTGATATGGCAAAAAACAAGTTATCAGGCCATATCCCTGCGTGGATTGGGAGAAAATTACAAGAGTTGCAAATTTTGAGTTTGGGAATAAATCATTTTTATGGAAGTTTACCATTAGAGATTTGTTATCTAAGAAGCATTCAACTGTTGGATCTCTCACTAAACAACTTATCCGGGAAAATTCCTACATGCATAAAAAATTTTACTTCAATGGCTCAAAATACATATTCAAGTTCTTATGCCTATCACTGGTATTATGTCAAGACGAGTCATGAATCATTTAGCAGGGCATATGATTTGGATGCATTCTTGATGTGGAAAGGTTCAGAACAAATGTTCAAAAATAATGAGTTATCACTTTTAAAAAGCATTGATCTCTCAAGTAATCACTTTTCAAAAGAAATTCCAGTTGAAATAGAGAATTTATTTGGATTGATTTCATTGAATTTATCAAATAACCATTTGATCGGAAAAATTCCTTCAAATATTGGAAAGCTAAAATCTCTTGAATTTCTTGATCTGTCAAGAAACCAACTTGTTGGTTCAATTCCTTGGAGTCTTGTTCAAATTGATCGACTCTCTGCTTTAAATTTGTCACATAACCATTTATGTGGAAAAATTCCAACTGGCACACAATTACAAAGTTTCAATGCCTCAAGTTACGAAGATAATCTTGATCTTTGTGGACCACCACTTGAGAAATTGTGTATTGATGAGGAGCTAAAACAAGGACCAGTTGTGAAACTTCATGAGGATGGTTTGTTTTTTACTCGTGAGTTTTACATGAGTATGACAATTGGATTTGTTACAAGTTTTTGGGGAGTTTTTGGCTCGATCTTGATAAAACGTTCTTGGAGACATGCTTATTTCAAGTTCTTAAGCAATGTAAGAGACAAAATTTATGTCATGGCAGCGGTGAAAGTTTTCAAGTGGCGGCATAGAATATAGCTGGTAATAATACTCTAACCTTTCCATACATACTTGATTTTCCTTTATATAATAAATAGTAGTCATAAACCTTGGTTTAGAATCACTTGACGCAAGCCTTAGTTTACGGTCGTCACACCGGAAACAAGTTGTAGTCCAAATTATCTTTTCTTTTAAAAAAATTATAACATATCTTTGAATAAATAAATTTAACAAAAGATGAACCTGCATAAATTTTATGCATTTCTGAAATATTTAGTACATTGGTTATATATTTGCAACTATTGCAGTTAAATATTCAATAAATGATAGGATGATATTAATTTTGTCAGCAATTAAGATGAATCAATTGGAATTTGCAATTTTTCTAATTTTTAACAATTTCTATTATAATCAAATTTTTCAATATAATATAATCAGATTATCATTGTCTAATAGGATGAATTTTCAAAAAGCACAAGTCAACCTAAAATATTTTAACAGACATGCATTTTCTTTATATTAATAATTTATAATATTAATGCAGATCATAAGGATTATTATTGATAATAATAATAATAAATTTTAATAAAACATAGATATAATAAATTTTATTTTCATCAAAATATAATGCAAGGTCCATTTTATATTACTTCTCTTTTAAAAGAGGAGGTATTCGTTTTATTTAGAAATAAATTTACCTGAACTTATTTCATTCAATAATTCATGTTTTACATCAAATTTTAATGATCTAATTGTTAAATTTAAAGTTCTTAATACATAGGTCAAATTTGTAAATTTTAAAATATTTTTAAAACCATTTGATACTTAATTTCATAAATTCAAATGGACGGATAATCATAAAATTATTTTATATGTTGATTTGAATTAATGAAACAAAATATTAAATGATTTTTAAATTTTTTTAAAATCTACAAACTTTTTATATGTATTAAAAGATTTAAATTTAATAGTTAGATAATTAAAATTTTATGTAAAATATAAGTAATTGAATAAAGTAAATTTAGGTAAACTTATTTCTAAAATAAACGAATCTGTCCTCCTTTTAAAATAATGCACATTTCTTAAAAAAAAATATTTACGCAAGTAATAGTTATAAAATAATTTTGTCCTACCAAAGTACCTTTGTTGTAAGAGATAATTAGAATTTAATTGTGAATTTATTTTTATATTGAAATGAGAGATATCACTAAATAGAAAATTATTAAAAGATAATAATTAACGTTATGTATCTGAAACTCTTTTAATAAAATAGTTGGATAATAATGAGAGAATCTATCCTAAACTCCTCGTTTCAAGTAAAACTTGGAGGACAAAATTTCTTTTAAGGGAGGAGTTATAACACCTCAATTTTCATAATTAAATTAATATGAAATTTTAATTAATTAAAATGCTTTAGGAAAATATTGGGTTGTTTTAAAATGAAATTTTATAATTAAAAGAGGTTTGTGAAAATAATGTAAAAGACTTTAATGAATAAAACAATATTTTTCTAATCACAAAAAATATATTTTTAAGTTTTTAGATTTATATCCTCGTAGGTCCAATAAGCTCCTTTTTATGTCAGAGGTTCATTATAAGTCAAACCTAATACTTTCTCTTTGTTGTTGGTATGATTTTTGAAACCTTTGTGAAGAGAACCTTGATCCGAAGAGGAATTGTGACGAGGTTGTTGCTACTTTGATTACACCCTTGATGTGGAGTCCTTTTTTCAGGTAAAGGGGAAGTGAGTTTGTCTCGATCATGTGCATAATGAGGTTTATGGGTAAAGAGGTTGGCCTTATATCCTATAGGTTTTTCTTTAATCCTAATTATATGTTTAATTTTTTAGATCGGTTGTTTTAGGGGTAATTAGGGATCACAAATGTGTATTATAAAAATTGTTGATGACATTGAGAATTACATGGATAACCTTGTATGTTTTTTATGTTCGAATTTGGTTCACAGTTATTGTTGACTAACTAGAATGATGTATGGGTATTTGGATAGTTGTTTCTCGAAAGATTAGGATTCTTGAATGGAAATGAGTTAATGTTAAATTGATAATGTTACTAGGCATATCATTGTATATAATTAAGTTAGAAAAGCAAGATAATTAGTAGTCAAGTAAGGGATTACAATGAAGCTATTTAAAATATGAAAATCTAGAAACATCAAAATTAATGTTTTAGTAAAATTAAATTTTCTATAACAATGCTAAGTGAGAAGACTACTCACAAAGCAAGAAACCTCTAGATAGTGAGGGGGAAACTCTCTATCTTGTTGATTCTAAGCACGAAACTTCTAGTGTCTCACTAAAGTTTTGGTGCTAAGTGAGTATATTGACTCGTTAAGTAGCATAGCCACTAATTTTTCATGCTAAGTGTGGAAGTCAAAAAAAGCAATAATTTTTCTTTGTGCTCTCAATGGTAAGCGACAATGTTGTGTCACTATGTGTTGCTAAGTGACAATGTGGTATCGTTAGGCATTGATGTAGTGGTGTTAAGTGATAGAACACTAGCAAGGAAACCTTATTTGATTTTACTTGGGCTCTTAGTGAGGGACTACATTGTTAAGAGAGAAGTCCCTATTTTTATTGGTATGTTTATGATGCTTTTGTAATGACATGTTAACGTGAAATCTTGTGTATTATAAATGACATGATTAATGTGAACTTGTTATATTTGAGAATGATTACAATGAATTTAAGGGACATTCTATCCTATGAGAATGACATGATGACCTATCATAAAAAGGTAGGTACCTTCATATGAAAGTTAAAACTTTGTGAGACCATGCATCATTTCATGAGCAAAGATTTGATTTTAAGAAATATCTTAGAGAATTAGTTTGGTGGAGGTCATGAAGGATTATTAACCCTAAAATTTGAGGGAGATTGAGGAAAGTCCACTATGTTAATCTCATGCTGATCGGAGCATACCATCGTAGTTGGGTAACATTGACTAGTCACACAAAGTATTTTACTAATTAAGGTTATAGTAAATGGTTGGAATATTCCAATATGTGATGTTGCATTTACTCGTAGTACATTTTTGCTATGTTTCAGAAATGGTGTCACATGCATATAAGCTAGATGACTAAAGGATATCTCATTTATTGAACCATATGCATATCGATTAACTTAACTTATGAGATGATTTATATGTTTATAAATGGGTATCAGTTCATAATGTTTGTAATACTTTGATCACGATGTAAAATATATCTTACTTTTTTGTGTTTGTCTTTGTTTGGTGGTTAATCGCCATTTGTAGGTGAGAGTCAGCTTGAGGATGATGATATAGAGGAGGTTGATGTCTATACTTTGACTATGACATCAGAGCAAAACTTATGGGTTTCTTTATGTCTTATGTTTTCTTTAAAGATGTTTAAGTTTAAACACGTAGTTTGACTTTCAGTTTTTGTTTCAATGTTTGGAGTGCCAAATAATTTGATTTAACTTTTATGATATTTGGACTTGTTTATGAATTGATCACATTACAAGTTATAATCTCTATTCTTGAAAAAAATTGTGAAAGTAAGTAGTTTTAGTTAAGTTTTTCATAAACTTTTTATGTCAAAAATTTTGGTTTAGAAGGTGTCCTCAAAATAACACGTATTATTGGGACAATCATACAACAATTAAATTTGACTAATTAATCACAAATAAATATACACTGATGATTAAAGTAGGCACGAGTCAATTATGACAAAATAAAGGATTAGTTATGGTTAAAGAGTGACTAAATAATTTTTTCCCCACATTATAGGCATGTGAAAAGAGTTGGTGTCCTTATGCCTCCTTTAAACAAAGCACACATAATGCCTTTGTTTTCTCTCACAGACCTTTCTTGTACCAACCTTGAATCCTCCACAAATTAATCTCCTAACCTTTAGATGCTAAGGAAAGGTTAAGATCTTACTCCCATGGCTCACCAACTTCAACTCCTTGCAAGATCGCCCTAACCACACACGTGGGGGCAATATTGTCCACATAAAACCTCAGTAGAGACAAGTCCCCATGACCTTCTAGGTAGTGCCCCTTGATAACAAATAGTCTAAATACCTCAGCCAAGAAAAGCTCACGAGCAAAACCTTACTCATTTACTACATTACCAAGTAATGTTGCCTTTTTCACAACTCTCTTATTGTATTAATTTCAACCGCATGTGTTTCTCATGTCGCATCCCCTCTAACTTTACAAGCTTATGTAATGGATGGTGCTCACCTAGATGTGTTTGGTGCATGAATGTCACTAAGGTAGATGTAATGGGCAATGCATGACATTGGAGACAACTTGAATGTTAGTGAGTTAATGTTGTTATGGGTGGGCTCGTAGAATAATCTATGTTGACTGGTGTGTGAAGAAGATGGGAGGTGCAAAAAAAAGTAAGAAGAGGAATATGAGAAACATTGTGAAGTGGAAAAGGGGAGGATTAGAAGAGGTTTAACCAATAGTAAAAGGGGAGGGAAAGTCGTTAAA